TAGATATTTCTGCACAAATAAGTTAAATAAGAATTCGCTTTTATGGAAAAATTTTTATTTTCTCGATCAAGCTCGAATACTTGTTGGAGACCTAATAGCAGGGCTTTTTTATATGGAAAAGTTCTAGAGTGAATGTCCACACTGATTGTGTTCTGATGAGAAGGACCTGTTTCGTAATTATATGATAATTCTTTGCGCAAAGATTTCGTAAAGCTAAATTTTCTACAAATGATCTTGCGTCCACTGATCCATTGCTGTTCAAAGTTGGCCCATCATAAATTATGTCGAACCAGCTCTTACAATGCTATGATTTTTGCATCCGCATAGCTTTTCAGTTCTCAAGACCCTTTAGTCTAGCTTCAAACAGGCAAATGCTTCCGATTCGTTCTACTTATCACATCTCAAACAATGCATACGCAATGCAGACTTTTAGCGTATTTCGCCTTTATACCACGCCAAATGACTACGCTTTGCAAGTTATGCTTGAACTCTGGAAGCAACCCCAAGAAACATAGGCATGATGGCTTGTACATGAAGCGGGCTGTGGGGCGATAAAAAGAGTCACTGATCAACTTTAGATTGTTTGGACAGTATTCCGCACAAATGAGAAGGTTGGCGATGGTGCACCGAGTGGCTCCAGGTTGCACTATTCAATTCATGTCTAGAATGGATACACCAGCAACCCATCTTCAACTGTTTATATCACTGCAGATATGTAGATGACTGTTTTATCATCTGGTGAAACTCAAGACGAATTGATCAAATATTCTGAGTGTTCATTGTACAATCAGATAATGATAATTCTTTTGAAAGTATTTGGAAGCAAACTGACTCCCCCATTTGACGTTCAAGTTAGACATGGAGAAACGCCAGCAACACAAGGTAATGCTAAAAGTCAGGCCAATTACTCAAACATTATCATTAGCATTCCTTTCATTTATCATACATAAGCGCGATTTTGTGAAAAACATCTTTCTACAGACTATCAGTGTGTACACAAGAAGAAAGGCAACAAGTAGCTATTTCGATTGCACGGTGGAGCTCATTGGCTCAGATTCGAAGGAAAAGCGAATTCTTCTGACGATGAGTTCAGTGAAAATAAAGCAGAGTTTGAAGAGAATTAAAAAGCGATTGATAGAATAGAATTCATTATACAGCTGCGTGATCGACTGCCGGTCAGCGCAATGTCAGATAACTACATCATCACACTTGGGGTGAATTATTACTCGGAGCCGATTCCTGTATAGAGGATTATCTAACCTCAGGGCGGTTGAACCGAGGGAGAGTGGTACTGATGAGTTCCAATAGGACGAAAGAGACTTCCATATACCACTAGACCTGACAGTTCAAAACAAGTTACATCTTTTTCAGATTATATCATTTTCAGCGGGTCTATAAAAAGCGGTGGATAGGAAAAGTAGAGTTTATCCGCAGGAATCAAAAACATCCACAGGCAAAACTCTTGAGGCATTTTGGATAAACGCCAAAAACCCCAAAATAAACTGGAAGGATGAATGCGTCACCATCACACAAGATCTCGCGCCCTTTCCTCTTCTGATCTTTTGACCTGACCTAGGCAGCATATAAATAAGATCTCCCAGATCATTCAAACAGACTAGTACTACATACGCCCAGGCTCTGAAGAAGGCGGGTAACTGAAACGTCAGCCGAAGTGCTACGACTAGTTTAACAACCCCGCGTCAGCTAATCAAGATAAGTTTTCTCGATTTTCATATATCAATCTTCTTTTGTCTGTTACAGCATAGCACCAAAATCTATCATAAAAACTGAATAAATCGTTGAAATTTTTAAAATTTGATCTATCGATTGGATAATTAAACTCTAGAGAGGAAGCTTGGTCAGGAAGAAATCTTTGAATGAGAAACAAAATACTATTTTTGCTCTTTTATCGGAATGACAAGGCCTTTTCTAAAACTGATTATATCTTTCAGATTATTTTGATTCGTGCTATCCAGTAACTAGTTGATCATCAAAGAAAACTAAAAATGAGCTTTTAGAAGGAGTCGAAGTGGCGCCTCCATAATGGAGCAGTACCCATTTTATTAGGCCAAAAACTCGAGGTTTTTGATGCATTTACAGATCTTTTCAGAACGATTTTGTAGGCAAGCACCATTGATGCCAGAGATTAGGTAGCTGTACCTACGCTCATGCAATCACCGTCCTCTGCCGTTAGGACATATTTTACAATCTTTCAGTATACAGAAATGGCCATATAAGCGGTTGCGGACTATTTGGCGTCTTAGAGTATTCGGTGGTATTCTAATAATAGCCACCGATTGCTCTAAATCCGCTCTTTTTGAACAGGGTTTCATAGCTGTATCTAGTTTAGCGTTTTATAGTCTTAATAGCCGAAACACCGCGCTAGGGACGCATAGAGAACAGAAATACGACGGAGTTGATTTTGAATCAAAGTCACCATTCTTGTGCAGGAACAAAAAGGTCAACGCGAAAATTTCTAGGAGCACTTTGGTTAACACCACCGATCCAACCACGAGTCCCAGGAAGGGATGCCTCGTTATCACTTGTGATTTGAGTAGTGTAGAAGACTATTGTTTTGATGGGTACGGTGCATTACGAGCCTTTGTGATCTCCTTCCGGTAATCTTCACTTGAATCACTCAGTGTAACACATAAAAAGCGGTGAGTATGTTGAGAGTTGATTTGTGCTTGATGCGATTAAAATCTAGGTCTGGTGATTTTTTCAAAGGAGTAATGGAGGTGTTTGACTAATTTTATTGCGGACAATTTGATCTTTCCAGGCTCCAAAGGAGGCGAACTGCCAAAACGTCAGTTGTCGAACAAAATCTAATGTAACATCATGTTTGGCTCAAAGAAGAAAATCACATATTATATTGAAGCATGCCGAGGTTAATAGACAGTCGGTCTTGGGAATTGATAGAAGAAGGACCCATTTATGTTATTCTTTTGAATCATTAAGCCGGAATTCCTTCTTGATTAATTGAATTTGTCTCTATAAACAATCTTTCTTATGTGATTGACATACGTTGTAAAAACAATAATTTCTCTTATTTCAAACATGTTACGGAGAGTTCACACATAAGGTAAATAAACCATTATACTTTGTTTTGCCTACGAACCGGGAAACAAAAATGCGATTAGTACTGTTGGATCATCGGATCTGCTGGGAGCTTCAAATATATGGTGAATTTAGCTGAATAGGCAGCATCGTGCCGTTTCATTTACTTGTTAAGCCAAGCAGCTCTACCGCAGCATTCCCCTCCCGCTATCAATGCAATGCTGTAGCTAACCATCGGTATTCGGACATGAAGCAAACCGCTACTGTTTTCTTGCAAACTGATGTAACCAATGAGTTTCATACAGTTCCAGAAGCAGAATCAGCATCGCGAACTTGTGCAACAATTTCAAGTTTGACGCATATTATTTATCTTAGAATTGAAATATATTTTGACAAGGTTTTGCTTGGCTAGCAATTCGGCACTTGCGCAGCCCATATTCGTTTTACCGTTTGATAAGTCTCCGCATGCGCATCGAAGTAAACTCAATGAAGTAAAGCAGTGCACGACCTGATTATTCTCATTTAGCAGCGTGCTTTTATAGAGCGGGATTCTAGAGTAAATGCCCACACAGAGCTTTTCTTTAATGAGAATGATCTTTTTCGTAATTACTATAGTGGTTATTTGCACCAAGATTTGGTAAAGCCCGATTTTTTCACAGATGATCTTGCGTCTACTGGTCCATTCCTGTTCAAAGTTGGCCAATCATCAATCAAGTAAACCGATCAGCACTTAGAATACTATAATTTCTACATTCTAATAACTTTCCAGTTGTTGCAAGACTCCTTAATCTATCATAGAACAAACAAATGCTTTCGAATCGTCTACTTAATGCGTCTCAAACAATGCGCACGCAGTGCAGGCTTTCGGCGTCTTTTCAGCGGCTTTTATATCACGTCAAATGACTAGATTTTGCAGGACACTCTTGAACTCCTTAAGCAGCACCAAGAAGCATAGGCCTGATAGCTTGTATATGTAGCGCGTTGTGGGTTCGTTACAGCTCAACTTAGATCGTTTGGGCAGTATTTCGCACAAATGAGAGGGTTGGCGATGGTGCAGCGACTGGCTCCAAGTTTTGTCATTACCTTTATGTCTGCAATGGAAACACTAGTAACCAAACTTTAGCCATCATATCACTTCGAATGTGTAGATGACTGCTTCGTCATCTGCTATGCGCATTGCGGGTTGGACAAATATTTTGAGTGGTCAATGTAGAGTCAAGATAAGCAAAACTTTCCAGGGAGAGTTGGAAGCAAAATGCCTTCCGCTTTTGAAACGTTCGATTCAATCTATCCAAAAGCGCTACAGCACAGAGTAATGCGAAAAACCAGGCCAAATACTGAAAACACTGTATCATTAGCATTCCTATAATCTATCACACAAAAGACGCCAACTTGTTAAAAAAATCTTTCTGGTGACTATAAGTATGTGCACAGCATGAGAGCTTGAGGAGGGTTCCGTAAACTCAGCGAAAAGTAGCCATTTCGAATGACGGACGATGGGAGCTTGTTGGGTCAGGTTTGCAGGAAGAGCGGCTCCATCTGACGATTAGTTCGAAGGAGATGAGCAAATTTTATCTTGATTTATTTCCAAGGAAATAGACACAACCATTAAACGCTACTTAAGAGTTCGTTTAAGTATTCGCCTCGCGTGATTGAAATACCCTAAACACTCTAGGACACCAGGTGGGCAGCAACCGATTTTATAGTCTCTATTCTGTTTCAATGATGAGCTGACACGAGGGTTTCAATAATCTCTATTATGGCCTGAGTTGGTCTGGCATTCGTCAGAGCCACGATAATTTAAGTCGAGTGTTCATAATTGTTGTATTACTTCTGATATTTGATTCTGCAGTGGTCGCATCGCGACCAGTTAAGAAATGCGGAGTAACATATAAATAAAAAAAAGTATTTTAACGCTAAGAAATTGAGCTGTGAGCAAAAACAGCCCCAGACGGAAGTTGAACCCGCGTTTCATCCATACCGGGGACGTGTGTTTACCACCACACAATCGAGGTACATTCGCGCGACCTCTCATTTTTCAACATCCCTATGTTAGCTGGCACCCACGAGCCTTTAAAAGGTTTGGTCGGCTATGCGATTTCGCTTTGCAAATCCAGTTAATCTGACAGCCATAGCGATAGGTGATACACGAAATGGTGTAGTGGTATAGTGGTAGCATGCGTCCTGGTATGGATGAAACGCGTGGTCGGTTCCCGTCTGAGGTCGTATTTTTGCTACACTCTTAGGAATATATGTAGCATCATAACACTGCGAAAAATGCAGTAAAGGCACCAGAAATTTCGACTATTTTAACGCTGTCGTTCTATACAAAATTTCAACTACTCTGAAGAGATATGGTACCAATTGACAGTCATCTAAGTCTCACTACGGCTGTTCTCGACCGATGTCATTTGCTCCTCTGATTGCAGTCCATTCTACAGCTGTAAGATTAGTACTAGCTGACATATGGTATAGCATCGTTCATTTAACCTCTCTGTGGTTTATCATTACTGTGCTTGTGTTGATGAGCTAATAGGAGATTTTCTAGATCTTAGACTGGATTATGACCGATGGAGCAAATGATTTCAAAAACAACCGAACGACGAGTGCTTCAGAGAACAACCGAACGACAAGTGCTTCAGAATGTGCATAAATTATGTGTACCGCGTTCTTCTGTCAGATTAACGGAATCTGGCTGAGTATAATGCAAATCAGTTTGCACTTTCCAAGTCTTGAAGGATGAGATACCGTCAAAATGTAGACCGTTATTTCATTGCACTGAGCGGTATTCAATGATTCCACAATAAACAGCCTCATAAGAATACTTTTTAGTTGACCGATTTTTTAACAGCTGCGTAATGTCACAAATCACAGGTGTACACATTGCTGCTGGCTGATGTGCAGAGATCTGATCTCAGGCGGGATTCGAACCCGCACTTCACCCTTTTTGGGGAGTCTGCTTAACAATTTGTACTACCGACGCTTGTTTTGCCACCACTCTTTCTACGCCAAAACGCACCAATCTGTCAGCAACAAACTGTCAATAACTCGAAGAGTTACCATATTAGAACGCATAACCCTCACGGATAGTGCGTAATCACTATTAGAATTGGGGCAGCTTTTTTCCCGCTCAACCCCTTTTCAAAGCATCGCTGCGTGCTACAGCTTGTAATCTGCATGAAGTTTTAGATCAACTCCGTTATAAAGCGGAATAACAAAGGTTGAGTCTAGCACAACTTAGAGAGGCAACATTACCTCCACCTCCTTTTCCACGAACGTTCTTCAAATAGCAACAACATGATAGCAAAACTGACTCAATCTTTCGTACATTTTCGGGCGAGCTTTTCCACGCACTTAATCGCTACCGGCAAAACAAGTTTGGCTCAAACCTAACTAAAAAAGAAAAACATGGCATGAAATAAGTCTGATTGCTGGTACACTAAAAAAACATCCGGTTATCTATTAGCGATGAGGGTGGGAAATTTGTAGTTATTCGTCGTCAGTTTAAAGTTAATGTAACGGAAAAACATCTCCAAGACGCTTCTCTCTATTGACGTTCCTCTGAGAAGGAATTTAAATCACAATGCCAAAATTGAATGAAGATTGGGTCCGAACGGTAAAAGCTGCGGGCTTACAACATCCTCTTATCCGTCAATTAAAAACTGAATCACCAACTTGCCCTGATCCTACACACTCGTCAAAACACATAAACTTTCTCTTAATGAATTTGGGTCTGCCGATCCCTCCACGTTCAAAGTTAGAGCGATCATTAGCTGTGTAGGCGGCCGACAGAGAGGATAAATTTCTTGGCCTCGTGTTGTCGCAATTATTAAAGTTAAATCTTCCCCACGCCAATATATTCCTAGAGCACCTTGAAATGCTCGTCCAAATCATACGTTGTAATGAAGTCGTTTGATGGTACAGCGCTCTATACAAACGTCTCAAGTGACGTTGCAGTACAAGCCACTCATGAATTACTAATAGAAAACATAGAAAGCATAGATATGTTGGCTTGTCTGTCCAATAGCTTATCATACTCCTTAAGTCATGTCCAAGCTGCTCGATATTTAGGTGGTCGGGAAAATATTTCGCACATATTAGGGAGTTGGCAATGGGGCAAAGACTAGCACTCAGCTTAGCCATCGCTTTCATGTCAAAAGTGGAAGCTCCAGTTCTCTATCGGGCTCAAAACTCTGCTGTCAATATATAGACGATTGCTTTATCATCTGCTCTACACAAAAGGAGATGGATAAATGCTTCGAAACTCTGGACGGGCAGTCCAAGTTTATTAAGTTAACGAGAGAACAACAACATTCAGAGAGCTGTATTCCTTTCTTGAACGTTCAAGTTCAACTCAATGAAGTGGCTGCAATACAGAATGGTATCGCAAGCCTAGTAACGAAAACGTCTTGGTACAATACCTTTCTTTTCATCCCTCACATACTAAAAAAGCACTTATCCAAAATATGTACCGAACAGGAGTAGGTGCACGTACGGGAGACATGAAAGAAGGGAATCACTAGACTTAGCGCAAAAACGAAAAACAAGCAAGAAAACGAAGCAAAAAAAAAACAACGAAAAAAAAAGAAAAGCAACGAAGAAAGAACAGCTCAAATGGGAGGAAAAACTAACGTTAGATTCAAAACGAGCGAAAAGCTTCGCAATGGGAACGACAGGGCGCCACACCTAAACAATAACGTACCTCTTACACTCCCTTCGTAACAGACAAAGTCAGTGCGGCTATTAGAAAGTGTCTAGAAAACAGTGGTCTAGAAGATTTTATAGGAATTATAGAAATCCCTCCTAAATCACTGTGTCGTCATATAGTTTGAAACCGTTTGTTTGACCGTCTATGTAATACAAAGGACTGCGTTATTTGTCCTAACGGTAAAGACGGCGACTGCATGAGCGTAGGTCCCATCTCTTGTAAGACATGTGGTGGCGAATACAGTGTCGAAACAGGCAGACCACTTAACGTTCTCATCAAAGAACACCTAGGCGGAAAAACAAATAAAGACCCAAGTAAGCCTCTAGGTACATACAGGATACAAAGGCGCAACGATGAAGACTTCGAGGTAGTGGTTAAAATCCTAGAATACGAATGGAAAACATCGGCGCGAAAAAGCCTTAAAGCTTTCAGGATAAATCAGAAACCCGCAATTGAACAAAAAGGGAGATTGCCTCAACATAACCAGCCACATGGCACCTTATCTCAGAGTGATTTACTGCCTGGTTCTGGGCTGACACCTATCGATAATTTGATCTAGTGACATGGGGGGAAGTAGGGAAAAGGGGGGGGGGGGGAGCGGGTTCATACGTCCAACATATGTAGTCCCTGAACCGTTTGCATAAGTTGTTTACGTCACATAACAGTCATCCAAGATGGGATTGATCTTGGAATCCATGCTGCGGATTTACTGCCAGTGGTGCGAAAATTCCTATTATTCCCTGGCGACACTGTCGGAATCGCCTGAAATTAGGTTTTGCACAGTTCCTTCTCTTGCAAAATCTAGCAATATTTGTTTCGGAACTCTGCTATGGGTGGAAAATTCTGGACTTCTCTAAAAACCTGGGTATTCAATGAGTTCAATTTGGTCAAATAAATCTGAAAAAAATTTTGATTTTGATATGATGCTTCACGAAATATGCTCAAATTTTTTTACACGCCTCACGAAGAACTTTGAGACTTCATCATGCGAAATGTGCCAGAAATTTTCGTTCGTCTGCACATCATAGACAAAATGCGTGAAGTTGAAGGCCTTCCATAAGCATACACTTTTATTAGGCATTAGGAAGATTTTGAAAAGAGGAGTAAGAAAGCCCTTGTTTAATGTCATGTCGGACGCGTTCTTGTGGAACTCAACTGTACTTTCCCATCTGGATGCACTAGCAATTCCAATAAGATATAGGAGTCTAGAACTCCACAGCAAAACTCTGATGTCTTAATATTGCTTCTATTGTCAACGTTTCCCCTCTTCCTCACATAGGTGGATTTTTGGCTGCGTCTTATTCCTTGCTGTTTCTGAATTTTTTAGTGAAATTTTTTTGAAGTTCTTGTCTGCTCGTTGTGAATAAGGCTTTCCCAGAGACCAGCCAACAATGACGTTAATGAAATGAAAACAGAAAAGTTTGATGATTGCATAACCTCGTTCAGAATAATTTGATGCCAAGGCATTTTGCACCAAAAATGTGTTTCGTTTTCGTTTATCAATATTTTATTCTACAATTTCCTTGTGAAATTGCACCCGTAACGTCTATGTTTTGCCTATTGTTAATATACTTGTAAATGAAAAAACTTGGATTACTTTTTTTGACCACTTGAAAACGTCGAAGTTCTGCCACGTCGCAGTCATTCACGTGTTAATCTCGAGGGCTAAATCTGTTGCTGCCTTGTAAACGATTCCATGGCTTGAATGGACAACTTGTTCTTTGAGTGTGCAATACTTATTCAGTCTTCTTGGGTGCTAAAATGGAAATTTTCTTGGAAGTGAAAGTGGTTAAATTTTCAAGATTTTCTAATGCACCCATTTTGATGTCGCTGTTAGCTACAATCTCGATGGTGCTGGGATGTGGTCCTATGTCACCAGGTTAAGGTAGTGAATAGAATAATGTTGTGGTGCAAAATTTTCTAATCTTACGCAGAATTTTATAAATCTAAATTATGATGATATAAATAACACTTCATTGGTGCTCAAAAGCTACCGTAATCCGATCCTTTTGAGAAACGAGTTGGCAGTATAAAACGAACAGAAGCCTAACATTATTCAACAAAACATTTCAATTTCAATCATTCATCCAAAAATTTTAAGGATTATTTGCAGTGAGCTCTAGGACGTCCACCGTCGCTGGTTTCACTCTGCCTGTTGCATTGATATTCTAGCAAGACCACTGTCCATGTTAGAGTCCCTGGCATTGCAACAAGCAAGGAGAGTGTTCAGGGACTTGTATCACGTCTTGTAATGCAGGCACGGAGCTTGTAACTCTTATACTTAAATTTTTTTCGTGAATTCTGAGA